AAATCATAAAGCCGTTCTAACTGCAACCTTAAACGTTTTTAGTGCGTTTCTATGTTGAAATATGGCGCACCATAAAACCCCACTGGTTCAGAACTATCTGATGCATCGAAGCGTTTATTACCAGATAAGTCTCGTCCACGAGCACTAGAAAGTCTATCGATAACATCTGATCCACATATATTGTGTTTAGTTACATTATGTGAAACAATAGGATATTCAAAGGTAGCCTAAGTTAGCTAAGCGAACAGTTTCGTAATAGAACTGGTCTGAAACTAAACTATTTGCAGTTGTGAGGGTGTATCTCAGGGAGCGAGTTTCAAGCAAGATCTCTGTCACTTTCAAATAATGTAAAATATATGAAGGCAATTTCACAGAATTCAAATAATCATTATTAATGTTTAGCTGCTGACAAATACGTGCATTATGTACAAGCAATGAGAAAACCATTCAAGTTCATTGTACATAAAAATAAAATTTAAATTCTAAACTAACAACCATAATAAATCTTAGGTTTAGGTATATTCGCGAAGGGAAATTTCCAAAATAAATTACTCACCTCGATGTAGCATGAAATCTTGGTATGTGATTGGTATAAAATATGTTTTCCTTAAAGGCTTAGATTTTGAGTTGTGTTTTATGGTTTAGTTCGCCAAATGTACATCCCCTGAATGAAGAATAAAAGATTAAAACTTTTAGGTAGTTTATTTCGTTTAAAAGATGATCCTTTATTTTTGCTCATCAATGCTTGGATAATGTATTGATGCTCTCTCATCTTTGTGTTCGAACTAATATAATAATATAATTTCTGAACAACAGACTACTTTAATTAAACCCATATTACACCTTACTGCTAATACTTTCATCGTCTAACTTCAAACTGGTTTCAACTAAGATAAATCACTCAAGGCGCTTGCGATTGCGAAAGTGTTTAGCCTGATCTAAAATAGGGCACTAGTTTTAAAGGATATGTTTGGAACTAGTGCTTTAAATTTAATAATAATATCATCAGCACCAGCCGAAAGACGTCCAGTGCCTCATAATTGAGGAGATCCTAGCCATTATAATCCCCATTCTTGGCAGATGTATTTGGGATTAAGTCACCAACAGTTTAGGAAACCCTGTAGGTCCTTCGCTGACTGGTCGTAGTTCTAAGACGTGCTTTAACTCGGGTCCTAAATTAAATATTGTCTTTATTGCCTTTATTGCTGTTTTTCCTTACAATAATTTCATGCATGCCTACTTGGTAATACTAAATTTTATTTCTAATTTATATTAAATTGATCGGCAACTGGTTGCTTTTTCTGAACAGCTTGTCTGGCGACAAAGGCCTCCTCTAAAGATTTCCACTTATTTCTGTCTCTTGCTAGTTGGCTCCATACTGGGCCGGTTATTTTCCGCAAATCGTCTTCCCATCTTTTGTTTGTGTTTTTTTTTTACAACAAAAAATGGTCCTAAATTAAAGTACGGTGAATTAAGTAACATACGGTAATGTTAAGGACATGTGCGAACTGTATCTGGTACGGCCTCGCTACCTCCTCGCATCCCACGTGCACCGAGTTAGGCAACCGAAGCCTTGAGCCGGCGCCAACGTATGCCCAGCTCTTACTTTCATTGTCCGTTTGAATGATAATTTGATTACAATGAGGCCATCCTATTGATGGTGTTTAATCCCTGAATGGATTAACCTTAATTTACTTGTTTGGGATACCTAAATGTCACTGGGCTAAGAAACTTGAATTGAGGTTAGGAATATTGTTACTAGTTTAAAATTATTGTGTGTATTATTAGTAAACTGCCTCTGCC